GACCCTGTCTCAATACAGTACTTCCTAAGCATTGCTTTTAATGTTTGATGAAACCTTTCCAATGACCCCTGACTCTCTGGGTGATAAGCACTGGATATGCGATGTGTAATATTAAGTGATTTAAAAACTTGAGTACACAATTTAGATAGAAAATTAGTCCCCTGATCGGTCTGGACGATTCTCGGCAAACCAAAAGTGGTAAAAAACTTTGTTAAAGCTTTGACAACTGCTCGAGCTGTGATCTTACGAAGTGGAATCGCTTCTGGATATCTAGTAGCTGTACACATAACAGTCAATAAAAACTGGTTACCGGACTTGGCCTTTGGTAAAGGACCAACACAATCCACTATCACATGCTCAAAAGGTTCACCTATGACAGGAACTGGAATTAAAGGTGCTGGAGGAATCACCTGGTTCGGTTTCCCAGCATACTGGCAAACTTGACAAGTCTTACAAAACTGCACCATGTCACACTTCAAACCATACCAAAAGAAATGTTGTAAGACATGGTTGTATGTTTTTGTCACTCCTAGGTGCCCCGACAGCAAATTATCATGCGCCAATGATAGTACCTGCTGTCGAAAAATCGAGGGAACCACCACCTGATAAACAACATTCCACTCATCATGAGTAGTGTTATTTTTATGCCACTTCCACATTAGTAGACCATCCTTAACAACAAATGAGACATTGTTAAGTTCTGGTTTCTCAGCCAATTTAAAGCATTTCACAAGTGAAACATCATTCTTCTGAGCTTCAATTAATTTCTCAAGAGTTACTGTCAAAGCCAGTGGGTCACTCACTACGACCTCACTCACCTGATCACTGACATGAGACTTGTCTTCAGGCCTTTCCTCAGCCTCCTAATCTACACATAAGAAAGAGTCAGATAAAGACACCTCATTATCTTTCTTTGATTGTGCACGTGTGATTACGCAAGCAGTAAATGCATTTGGATATTTCTGAGACAATTCATCAGAGACATGCTCTGTCGACAAAGTGTCGATCACTTCGAGTGAAGGTACGATTTTCCCTCCGGCCAAATCGTTACCTAAAATAAAGAATATTCCTTTCACTGGTAAGACCGGGCGTACTCCTACCTCTACAAAACCAAGTCTATTTGCAGGTGAATGCGGTGAACGGGGACTCTCATGATCTCCATACTGAAACTCTGGACCAGTCTACTAGATCCAACTGACGTCTGATCTGAAAAAGGCAAAACATCTGCACACACAAATGACTGGGCTGCACCAGTGTCCCTTAAGACCTGCACTTCTACCTGATCCTCCTCCTTACCCGATAGCGACACATATCCTTTGAAAAGGAATGGAACATATACACTGTCGACTTTATCTTTTGTCTGCTCAAAATGCACACTCTGACTAACTGTATTAGCAAACGCAACCTCTTTTGTCTGGGAATGCTGTTTACGCTTCAAAGACAAACACTCTGCAATAACATGTCCTTTCTTATGACAGTAAAAACATTTCTGCATTTCTTTGGGCTTTTCAACACTCAATTTGGGCTGCTGAACTTTCACCGGCGACTTCACATAACTTTTCTCAGCGCCTACTGACTGAAAAACGTTTCTGTGCGTAAGCACAAATTCGTCCGCTAACACCGCTGCCTGCAATACTGTTGCTACTTTTTGTTCGTTTAAATACAGGACCATTCTTTCTGGAAGACCCTGTTTAAAATCTTCGAGTAACACAAGTTCTCTAAGCGATGTAAAATCGTCCGCTTTACTAGAAGCGCACCATCTATCAAAAAGAATTCCCTTGTCTCGGGCGAATTCAATGTAGGTTTGACTGGCGTTTTTCCTACGAGTACGAAATTGCTGCCTATAGGCCTCTGGAATTAGTTCATAAGCTTTGAGTATGGCTAGCTTAACCACATCGTACTTAAGGCTGTCTTCTAAAGACAAAGTTGAATAAACCTCCAAAGCTTTGCCAGCTAATTTGCACTGTAATAACAACGACCATACCTCTTTTGGCCAATTCAAGGAAGTCGCGATCTTTTCAAAAGTGTTAAAATAACTATCCACTTCCGATTCATGAAAATTTGGCACTAAAGCAATGTGCTTATCCACATCAAAAGTGGCTGAATTCGAATTAGCCGAATTATCACTTACCGAATAGAAGTTTTGCTGGACAGAGGAACCTGCCGCAACCTTTGCCGCCTCGATGTCCAACTTCTTCTTCTTCTTCTTGGCTTTTAACGGCGGCTGGCAACCAGCATAATTAGGTGCATTACCGCCACCTTCTGCTCCGGAGTGTGGAACAGAGAGTTATGGCACTTTTCCACTGCGTGGTACGACTCGGCTCGGCACGGCTCAGTACGGCTTAGCACGGTTTGCGTTTCCACTGCAGTTTAGTATCACTTTAGAGTGGGCGGGATTATTCACATGTCATTATAGTTGCGCCGCCTCTACTGTTGCGACTCCTGAAAAACCTTTTCATTAAGCTTCGCCCCATCAAGCTATCACTGGATCCGCTCCTCTGCTATCAACGAGAGGAACGTCTGTACTTACTAAACAGACATCGAAACAGACACTTC